TCGCCGCGCGCGCGCGCGCGCGCGAATCGGACACGGAGCGGCAATGAATAAAACGGCATTGTTGATTTTGCGGCAGTGGCTTCGCGTGTACGAGATTCGCCGAGATGCATCGTGTACGTGTGCTTGCGGAACGTGTGGGCGTTTCGTGTGCTCGCGCACGTGCACATCGAGGAGAGCGAAACGGGTAGCCGTGCCGCCGTGCGACGCACCTTCTCGGTTTTCTGTTCTTTCAGACACCGGCGACGGCCTCGTCGCGTTATCAGGTAGTCCGATAATCGAGTTACTCTCTAGGTGTATGTGTGTGTGTGTGTGTGTGCGCGCCGTCGGTCAACAAAAGTTTCCCGAGTTTCTGTCGTCGGAATCCCTCCGTCGTCGTCCTCCTTGTTCTCTCTGCGGTTCTCTCCTCCCATTTTCCGTCCATCCGACGTGGCGGGTGATAAATTTGTTTACGCTCGTAGGTATCGACTGGACACCGCACACACGAAAATCGCATACGAACGAGAGAGGCGGCGGGCCGATCGATCGTCCGAGATGGGCGGCGTGCTATTAAAAAATTGTCGGAAAGTCAACTAAGCTGAATCCTAGTTACGCCATTAGCTCGGGCTAAGCGACGTTGATGAATTTGCCGCCGGTTTATCAATTACGGGGCTTTTGTATTGCGGACAGTTTAATTCCGTCGCAACCGTTTGAACTTTGACAAATCCGTAGACAATGTTGGGGATGAATTATTTATGGCTCTTTCCGATCAAGGTGTGTTCGCGAATTGGAATCCTCGGCGAGTCAAAGGGCGAGTCGTGTCACTCGAGAGAGGTACTCGCGACGGTTTGTTTCTTCTACCAACTCGCGGAGTCAGAAAGCCGAAGTAAAAGTCAAAGGTGAGCAAAGGGCGAGCAGACACGGCTCCCTGTGAACCATCCCTCGCCCTGATGGTTCTGCTAATGGAATTCGGCGCGACAAATGCGACGGCGGTCGTTAACGCGCGGCGGTAGTTTCTAATAAAGCGCGAGTCTCTTTCACGAGAAAACTCGCTCGGCCGAAATCTCGGTCTCACGATCGATTAGGGGGAATCACAGATAAATAATAATTAATTTTTTTTAGAGTGTCTCCGAACTGAATAAAATGGAGACGCAGTTTAAACTGAGGAAATACACGCGAACAGCGTGATAAAATGAACGGACCGTATCGCATCTATATTCTATCACCTTCAACGGGCATGGCGATTTTCAAAAATAGGGACGTCGTCAGATCGCGGCCCTTTGTTCGCGGATAACTGGTTAATTTAAATATAATTAAAACTGCTACTCGTGCAAACGCGGGATCGAAGGGGGGAGGGAGGGAGGGCACGAAGGGATAAACGGCGGGCTGAACTTTAGTAACACTTCCCGGGGATTCGCAAGTGCTCATAAACCTGCGAGCGATGGAGCCGTCTCTGGCGGGCAAAGAAGCCGTTTTATGTAACAAGGCGTGTTATATAACGTGTTTCGAGGAGAGACACGCGTGCGAATTGTACAAGTTCATAAACAGCCCGGGCACCTTTGTCGCTACGTGGAATATGTGACTTTATTATCTCTCCTCGCAACGTAACGGCCTCGATTGATGGGCACAATTAATTATCGCCCAACGTCCCGCGTTGTTCCATTGGCCTATCTGGGTTTATATGGACTTACACGTGTTATTGCACGCTCTGTTTTTACACGCACTCGAGGGAACGTTGACGTCGAGTTAATGAGACGTTGGCCGTTTATTTAAACGCTCGCCAAGAGTAATTCCGTAATTTTTCATATTCCGTTCGCTGGACAAGCAACGAGCGTAATTGACGTCTTTGTTAACGTGGGTGTCAATTTAAAGTTGACCGGCGACCAAGCGTTGCAAGATCGTCGCGTGACGCTAATTTTAAAATTTAGCCCTCTCGTCGAAAAAAGTTGAGCGAGCAAATGGCTTTCGGCTTTACCGAGATTTCAGCGAGTTTTTCTAACGAAAAGCTAACGCGATGCTTCGCGAAAAGGTCGAAATTTTTCAGCGAGAGGGCTGAAATACAAAAATTGCGCAACATGAATATCTAACGTCTAGTCGATAGTCCGCTGTTGCTAACTGCCGTGTCGGGAAACGGTACTCGTTATACCGAGTTATTACTCGCAGTTTGTACTCGTTGTAACTACGCTGTTTGAATGTATTACGCTGAGTGGTCACTAATGCAGCTATCGACACACTTAACGCAAGTAATTTCTATCACGTTTGCGAGCACGTGCCTCCGCCAGAGGGTTTAATTGCCGTACGATCCGACACTCAAACCTAACATTACCGTCTATATGGGACGATATGCAAAATGCAATAGGATACAATCATGACAATCACTTTAACATCAATTAAAATTTCATGTCTATGGGCGCTCTTCGCGAATTGTTCCTCCGAAAGTCTACAAACTATTCAGTCGCACGTATAGATTTAAATTGTTGTTTTAGATATTATTTGAAATTCTTGTAAAATCTTGAATGTCTCAAAACTCTAGAAAGTCTTGAATGTCTCTAGGAAATATTTTCTTAAAAGCGTCCGAGTATCTAAAACGTTTAAAATTCTTAAAGACTGGAATTGTTGTCCATAACTATGTATAAAATAATAACACGATGAACTAAGATATAACGATAAAGGGTTTAGGAGATGTATTTTCAAAATATTTGAAACTTTTAAAAATGTTTTGACCTTGAATAACATTCCAAGACAATTCGAGGTATTTTTGATATGTATTTAAGATAATTTTATTAATTTTGAAGCTATTGATTATTTATATTGAACAATATTTTGAAATTTCTGTAGATGAAAAGATATGTGATATCTATATTAGATACATTATTATCTGAAACACGCATAGACGGGTTATCACATCTAGTCGAACTACTGAAGGATCGTGTGGAAGAGTGAAAGAGAGAAAGTGACTTTGATCTTATGCATTCACAGATTTGTCATTATGTACACTAAACAATTCATATATACCGACCAATCACTAACATCAATCTCGTGTACAATCTCTCTACAAGTTCCGCGCACAGTACGGATTATTAACTCGCTTTGCCGCTTTACAATTTTTTTTTTTTCTCGTAAATCGCGAGTTAATAACACGCACTTTGTACGCTCGTCGTGTCGATTCCAACCATCTACATGCATTTAAACCTCATCGTCACAGAAGAACTCGACGATTGGGATAGGGACCACTTGGTGAGAGCCGGCTGAGCGATTTACCTCTTTTACCTGGGCTGACTTTGAACGGGGATCGGCGACCTGGACGGTCTCATCGGGAGGCAGCCGCCAGGAGTTCCTCTCGATGTTAACGCTGGCGTTCATAGCGGCCTCCTCCTCCGCCTCCCGTGTCCTTCGTCGGTTTTAGCCACTTCGTCTCCGCGCGATCGTCTCCCCAAGGTCCCCAGGGTAACCCCCGGGCCACTCCTGGGGCCGAGGTTTTATTACGCCAATCCACAGTTTTCCTCACCTGAAGGAAAAAGAAGACGAGATCTAATAAATTTATATGCTAAAATATGGCACAGAGCGGCGAAAAGATGTACATTCGACTAAATCCGGCGGCGAAATTACCGAATGTGCTGATGAAAGCTGAATGAATATTGAATCGGGGGAGATGGAATATTGAAGGATGGCAGGAAGGTAAAGGGAGATAAAGAAGATAGACCGTAAGCTCACAGATGGCAGAAACCTCGGGGAATGAAACTCAAATCTGAGCCTTGGCCTAGGAGTTAAGCACGGTATACAGAGGTAATGGCAAATGGAAGTCGTGAGCAAATTTTGTCAGTGTGATACAAAGTTAAATTATACGGAATGTACATTTTGTATTCGCGGATATATATATATATATATATTTATTTGGATAAATTACGAATGAAACATTCAACATTTTTCAAATAATATGCAATTAAGCCATAAAATTCGTTTAAATTTTTTTCTAACGTTTTTTTTGTGTATGGCGAGCGTTAGCAGAGGCCGACTGACGATCTCTTCGACACTCGATGTCGTAATTTTTCCGGAGGAATTTAATATCCGTGCGGTACACGATTAGTCAACGCCCCGAATTCCGTGAGAAAGTTGCACCGTTTAATTCGCGATTTGTACAGGGAGGAAAGGAAGAAAAGTTGGCAATTCGCTAACCCAGTTATTGCGCGTCTTTTTGTGCAACGAAGTTGCAATGATGTGTGTTTGGTAACTGAAACGGGATCGCGATAACGAAGTACCGATTTCGGTTGCTGTTGAATTTATGGGGCGTAAAAGAAATACAAAGGAGCAGTGGGAAGAGAAGGACGGCATCGATAGGACGACCGATCGAACTTTCTGTTCCTGTTTTCCCGTCGTTTACACGAAATAACGCACCGCTGGAAATTCGAAGATCGGAAATACGTCTGTGAAATTACATAGCTCGACTCATTTAATCGACGAAAATTGCTCTCGATTAAGTTCCAATTCTGAGCTCGCGTCTCCCATTACGAAATGCGAATGTGATTATTATGATATCATTCTAATGTGAGAGAGCAATCGATAAATTATCTCATCAAAAACTCTATTATAAAACGATTAGATAAAAATTAATGTTTTCATCATAAATTTATCAAGAATGCTTGTATCTCTTATATTTACTGCCGAATCGATAGAAGTAAAATTTATCATTGACTATTATTGCACTTAGATTGCTGTAATACTTGACTTTATGATTAACATGTGGAACATGTGCGAATTTATGCTTTTTAGTTTCGCCGCTGCATCGATCAGACTTGAAAGCTGCAGTAAAACGTTAATGTCTCTCGGCGTAAACATTCGTTGACAAACATCGATATACGATAGTAAGAGAGTCAGGGTACAGGGAGAAAAAAGGCGAAGAGTTCAGGGGAGAGGGAGCGAGGCGGAGGACGTTGTCCTCGACGTGGGGGATGCAGGGGTAGCGCGCGCCGTGCTAGCTCCACGTGTGACGTCAGAAGGGTTACGTCAGTGGTGCGGTAGACTGTGTGGGTACATACCCCTCGGTGATGGTGAAGATGGCTGTGCTGCGGAAGGGACCGAGGGGAGAGAATAGATGGGATAGTCGAGGGGTCGCGGGAACGAGGGGGATTGCCGAGAGAGGGTGTATGAGGGTAATCGCGAGTGGATTCGCGGATGCCGCATGGAGGACGGAGCTGACGCAGAATAAGGTCGGCCACCCCGGATCTATCCCCCGGATTTCATTCATCAGTCACAGTCGAGCGTGACCCATGCGAGCTAACCGGATTAATCCCTCCGCGTTTGTCTGCACGGCTTGCGTCGCGATCGCGGCGAATTTGTCGACACGCCGTGCTACAACAAAATTTTCAAAGGAACCTAGTATTGCGGATAACACAACGGTAAATTAATGACCGCGAGGTAAAAAGGATGAAAAGGGGATTATTAGGAGAGACTTTTCGGAGAGACGAGTCAATCTTATAAATGCTACAGCTGACATAAAATGTTTGTGATAACGGAAGGGCGACTCGGAAGCCGCCCAACGCGGCTTCCACTAGTTTACTTCGTTGCGATAACGTTGCTCGAGCCTGACCGATCCACCTCTCACGTCGTTTTATTCGATCTGCCTTGTATCGGCGTCGTAAATCAATTCCAAATCTCCGTTCCGCAAGAAAGCCCATAAGAAGCGCGCACCACGGGTAATCGAATTCTCACTGCGAGGCACCACCAATGGATCCGCAATTTCGCTAAGCTCACTTCTCCCCAACTTTTTGCAAATGCATCCCGTTTCGCTTACGAGCTATGTGGCGCCGTAAATTGGCTCGTAAAATATTTCACAGGATGCGTCCGACGCTTCTCCTTACTTGATCGATCGACGGATCATAAGTCAGTTAAATTGCAAAGTTGGCTATCAAAATGCGACTTGCCTTTTTTAAAAAAAAAAAAAGAAACGAGGAGATTTAACAAATATTTAATAATTCTGTTACAGACGTGGCTTCCTTGTCGAGCACAAGCAAAAACGTAACACACACACACACACACACACACACACACACACACATATATATATATATATATATATATATATATATATAC